TCAGTTGATTTCACACTAGGGAAGTTATCAAAATCTAAGGTATTTTCAAAATTAGATGCAAATAGTGCCTTTTGGCAAAGAAAGCTCTCAGAATCCTCACGTTTACTAACTACATTCATTACACCTTGGGGACGATTCTGTTTTAATCGGCTTCCCATACGGCATTTCTACTGGAAGCGAGCAATTTCAGAAAAGCATGAATAACGTCTTAGAAGGGTTAAAAGGGGTCGAGTGTGAGATTGACGACTTATTAGTCCACGGAGAATCACAAGAGCAGCATGACTCTAGGTTGCATTCAGTTTTGCAGAGACTACAGGAGTCCAAACGTACTTTAAACAGGGATAAATGTGTATTTAGTGTCTCCACGATTAAGGCATTAGGTCATGTCATTTCATCTGAAGGGGTATCCCCAGACTCTGACAAAGTTAAAGCCATTTTAGATATTCCTGTACCTACAAATGTTGCCGAAGTAGATCTTTCATGGGTATGGTGAATCAATTTAATAAGTTTACAAGTCATCTCGCATCCAAATCAAAACCACTTAGAGATTTATTATGTAAAGATTCTGTTTGGTATTGGGGGGATAAGCAAAATGAGTCATTTAATGATCTAAAGAAATGTTTAATTTCTGTCCCAATTTTGGCTCTTTGACAAAGAAACTAAGATAAATGCAGATGCATCTTCTTACGGTATAGCAGGGGTATAGTCTTACAGAAACAAGAAAACAATGAGTGGAAACCCGTTTCTTACATATCACGCGCACTTACATATACAGAATCTAGATATAGTCAAATTGAAAAAGAATGCTTGGCATTCACGTGGGCTTGCGAGAGATCGAGTGATTATATTTTAGGAAAATCATTCTCAGGAGAAACTGATCACAAACCATTAGTGCCATTACTGACCACCCATACCCTAGACCAAGTACCACCACGAATCCAAAGGTTCAGAATGGGATTAATGAGGTTCAACTTAGAGAAAATGACGCATGTACCTGGTAAACAAATGTACACTAGTGATGCCCTATCGAGATTGTTAAAACCATTCACCAAACCAGATTGTTGTACCGTGCCAGACGACGAAATGAATGCGTTTGTTGAAACTGTGATTGACTCGTTGCCTGCCTCAGATAAGAAACTGAAAGAAATTATCGAAGCTCATGAAGAGGACGAAGTGTGCAAGAAAGTTAAGCAATCCTGTCTGGAAGGATGGCCTGACAAACATATGGTTCCAGATGCTGTGAAGTCATATTGGAGAGAAAGAGGAGAACTTATGGTAGTCCAAGGCTTGATCCAATATTGATCCATCCGGTATGCGATTGAATGTCCTGGACAAGAATCACGAAGGGCATTTGGGAATTACGAAGTGTCGAGAACGTGCAAAGCAGTCGGTGTGGTGGCCGGGCTTGAGTACCCAAATCCAGGATATAGTACAGCATTGTCGGACATGTGCCATGCATATGGTCAATAAACCTGAACCGTTGTTCCCTACATCGTTTCCAGAAAGACCATGGTAAACTTTGGCAATCGACTTTTTCAAATGCGAGAACATTGATTACTTAATTGTAGTTGATTACTTTTCACGGTATGTCGAAATTGGGCCTATGAAGAAGAAGACAGCAACCGAAGTTCGCAGAGTCCTGAAGTCCATTTTCTCGCGACATGGTATCCCGGAGAGAGTTAGGTCAGATAATGGACCCCCTTTCGATAGTGGCGAGTACCTCCATTTCGCGAATGAGTGGGGATTCAAAGTTCGTCACAGCAGTCCGAAGTATCCTCAGTCAAATGGTGAAGTACAACGAGCCGTACAAACCATAAAGAGACTGCTCAAGAAAGAGAAAGAGAAAGAAAAAGCTTTGCTAGCTTACCGATCTACACCGCTATCCTGTGCATATTCCCCAGCCGAGTTGCTGATGGGAAGGAAAATTCGCACAACGGTACCAACATTCCATAAATTGTTAACACCGAAGTGGCACGATCTTATTAAGCTACAAGAACACGAAGCTCAGTCCAAACTACAACAACAGAAGTACTTCAATACCCGACATTGTGCAATGCCACTTAAACAAATACCTCAAGGAACTGAAGTTCATATTTCTACCCACCCAGAAAATGGTGTTGTAAAGACTAGTACGGAAAGTCCACGACAGTATGAAGTTGAGACTCCAACTGGTGTTATTAAACGCAACCGTGTTCAGTTGTTATTAAACGCAACCGTGTTCAGTTCCACTGCCAGAAAAAACTATCGCGCAAAGAGAAACTAGTGAGTTGGTAACCTGAAGTTCAGGCCCTAAGGGGCGGACCATTTGACTTTTGAGGGGGGGGAGGGGTAATAAAACAAGATTTCAATAATTTAATTTTTAACTGCCCTCCGAAACAACAATGTTCCACCAAATATAGCTCTGTAGCTTCTCAATCGTTCATACAGATAGCTTGTTGGGGAACGGGTTGCATCCTCTTCAGAAATTTTTTAAAATCTAGACTCTCTAAACTGGCATTTTCGCATTAAAATCATTGTATATACAATACGTTCAACTTGCATCCTGTAGATGGGCCTTTGAAGCTTTAATAGTTTGGAGCTATGTTATCAAAAAACGCACACAGACTCAACCATCCAAAAATACTTTTTCTACCATGCATATTAGATATGTATAAATAACTTATAAACTTGTACATAATTATCTTAAGCCCAGATTTTCTCAGGGGGGGGGGGCAACAATTTTGCCAGGGAACACCACTGGCTATCGTATGTCAGAAGAGGCTCCAAAGGCGGTAGAATCCCTGTGATGTTATCCACTGTTCACCCCGTGTTCTTTTAAGCAAATGTGCCTGCTCAAAAATGGCAGTCAAGCCGTGCACAGAACTGACTAATTAAATCTTTGTTTGTTGTTCGGTTAAATAGAGAAACTGACTCTTAATTATACAAAAGTACCTTGAATTTTTAAGTTTAAATAAAAAGCAAAATGCACACTCTGCGGACATGTTCATGAGAATATAAATTTTTTGTGACGAAATCTACAACACTTGTCAATCATATTGCATGCTGTGTCTAAAAATAACATGTGGGCGTCCCACGGTCTAGACAGGTTTTGTGTCAGGCCCTATTTCAAATTAGGGCCTGAACTTCAGGTTAGTGAGTTGGAGGATAATAATATTCCTGAACTCAATATATATTCAAGGCCAAAACGAACTGTAAAACTATCGTTAAAAGCACGCGAGAGCAAAGGACTTGCTTAGAACATAATAGACTATAGAACCAGTAAAGTTAACTTATATTCAATTAAATTTTAATTAGTTAATTATTGAACAAATATTGATTAACGAACACGCAGACTAATGTTTTAGAAAAACGTTAAAAAAATATTTAAAAAAGGGAGATGTTGTATTACCATATTCTTATTATTTAGTATTAGCATAAATCATGATATGTATATAAGTCCTGAACTAGTATTAAAGTCAAGTTGGTAACACAACAAATGGTATATATAAATAGTGGACATGTAAGAGATAATATTTGATCAGTTACCAATGAGCTGTGCACACAGTTGCTACAGGCGTCTCACCTAGGTTTCGATCACAACATCACTTGGTACTGGCGGCATCAATATCCAAAGCAACAATTGAAAATAATTATACCCAGGCTGATGACTAATTTGACAACTAACTTTAGTTTTTTCATACTACATAAATCTCCATCTCTGACAGATGACTAATAGACCACTTCCGAGTTATTTACAAGATAATATAAGTGCTCCATTTGGTTTAATAATTTATAACTTATTAAAAAGTTGACTTTTCTCTTGAGGGGTAGTTACGGTATCCCTGCTGCCCCCTCCCCCAGTGTATGCCCCTGGTCTGGACTGCTTTCTCTTCTATAGTATTTTGCAAAACTAAACAGGAGATTTGCAAAACTGGAACCATAACTTTACCAATTCATAATTTCCTGCTTCTTTTGCAAAATACATAAACCATCCCCAATATCTCATTGTAATAAAATGTGTAACCCTCTTCACTCTTGTCTATCTATATCTAGATGTGTCTAGATGCCCGGCAGTCATATTCAGAATAAAAATAGCTCATATATCATTTTAGCAATATAAAAAGGTTATTTTGCAATGAATATATTTCAGCGAGCTTGTTAGTGGCTTTTAAACCATGTGGTTCAGGGCCTCTTTTAAGAATTTGTCAGTGGAGGGGCCATCAAGAGAAAGGGACCCAACTAGGAGGTGGCAAGGGTGGGTTGTAGCGAAGTAGTTGTAGTTCGCTACTGTAGCGAACTACAATTTTCAAGTAGCCAGTAGTTTTTGACTACTTTTTTAAAACAGTAGCTGTAGTTATAGCGAACTACATTTTGCCTAAAAGTAGCCAAGTAGTTGACTACTTTTCAAACAGCGAATCGCTATTCGCTACTTTTTAAAATTGTTAGCAACTTGATAGAATAGCATGATATTGAGACACGGTTTGCTTAAAATCAATGCTCAATAGTCAATTTGCACTCCTGAACACTGTAGTGCTTACAAAAATGTTGCTTTGTGTTTACTGTTGCTACTCGTAAGTCGATTTGTTATAGGTTACATTACAGCCTGAGTTAGTAGGTGCTCCAAATATAGTAAAACTAAAAATATAGAGTAGCGAAATAGCGAAATAGTTCGCTACATTTTTTAAGCAGTAGCTGTAGTCAGTAGCAAACTACTTTTGTTCAAAAGTAGCAGCAGTAGTTGTAGCTGACTACATATTTTTGAAGTAGCTGTAGTTATAACAAACTACAAATATTTTGTAGTCAACCCACCCTTGGGAGGTGGTGGGAAAAGTGTGAACTTGTCTGTCCCAGAAAAATGTTGTATTTTAAGTGTCACAATTTTTTATATACTTCATCCGCTAGACAAAGAATTCAAGATTTGGTCATAGGAATACTAAAATACTCTTCTTCACTAAGTTATTCTTCCCTTTTGGCCTTTTTTGCTTATATTTTAGACAGAACAGACCTTCACTTCCAAGGGGGGACAACATAGTTCACCGGAGGGGCCAAAACAGGGGCAGGGGGGGGGGGCAAGTCTCCAACTGTCTATGGTATTAAAAGATTGATGTGGTTGAATATTTTCTTCCCGACCAAAACTTTTGAACTCTCCTCAACCTTTAGGGGGTTAGGCCTGGTTCAAACGTCGAATTTTGCATGTGTCGAATACAATTCGCATTTCATTCGAGCGAATTCAATGAAATTTGACGTTTGATTCAAACGTCGCATTTTGCATGCATTTAATTCGAAATTGTAAGTGTTGTAGAATGTAGACACGCCCCTTTGATAGTTTTAATTAATAAATTGACATTTATTTTTAACCTAGTTGTGGTTTTACGTAAACAACAAGAGCGAAGTTTCGCTCAAAAATAAACACAGTATGTCAGTAGGGCCATTTATACGACTATACCAGCGAAATAAGCCGTGGCTTGTCTTATTTAAAGCATGAAAAAATACTATGTAGTCCCGTATAAATGTAGTTGTTCGCGACTTTATTTTCGCTTGTATATAAACTCACATCAGGCTATTGACTATTTTTCACACAAACACACAAAAAAACATAGAATTATTACCATTCTATGTCCTACATGCGAAATTTGATCCATTAACACTACATGCCGTCCTTCTTTTACCTTGTTCCAGACTTTTTCCGCGAGCTCCACCCTAGCAGAATTGAATTCAACACATGCAAAATGCGACGTTTGAAACAGGTTGCATTTAGCTCGCACTTAGCTCGCATTATGCGACTGGTCGGGTCGAATTTAAAGTTAAGGTCAACCGCAATTAAAAATGTCGCATTTAATCGTTTCAGACGTCGAATTTTGCATGCACATAGTTCAAGCAATTGAATTCGACACATGCGAAATGCGACGTTTGAAACAGGCCTTAGAGGTTAGGACTGAGGTTATGATTGGGATCAGGTTTTTTTGGAATAAACTGATACGGGGATCTATTAAAATAGAGCTTACATTTCATCGGGAGATTTAGGATCTTGCCACTCATATTCACCAGCAAAGCTTGGTCCTAAACGACAGAAAACATCTTGAATACAAAATAAAGATAGTTTGTCGTGCAGAAATATCAGGATTTTAATACCTCGACAAGTGCGAAACGTCCTCCACGTGGGTATGGTTTTGTGCAAAACAACACTCCCAGTGTTAATAAAATGCCTTAATGATCCTCTTGAAAGCAAACAAAGACCATATCTTGTTAATGTTGCCATTTTTCAGGCATTTCAATATGTAAATTACTGAATGACTTCGAAATAGTTTGTAAAATCATTCTGTAATTGAAAATGATCATCGCCGGCCGCCATATTGGATTGCCTCTGGTTTGAGCCCACTGACTATACTATATTACTGGAGGACCTGCAGTGAATAGCAGTCACTAGCACCCTGCCAGCACTCATCAGTTCACTGGCGGCACTCATTGAAGAGTATATCTTAAAGTCGAGGGTCGAGAGTATAGGTCGAGAGTCGAGAGTAAAAGTCGAGAGTAAGCAGGGCTGGGGCCGGGAGCCCCGGCCCCCCCTGGCAAAATTTTGCCCCCCCCCCCTGGCAAAATATGGGGGCCCCCTGACAAAATGTATTGTATAAAAAAGGGAATCCTTGATTATATAGCTTAATGCTAAAGGCCTGATTCCACGAGCGCTTTTTCTCGGCGAAATATTTCGCACGTGGTCGGCAGTGGTGCCGTAGCCGGAGGGGGGGGGGGGGGGGGGGGGGGGGGGGAGACCCGTCGGAAAATTGAGACCCGTCGGAAAATTGAGACCCGTCGGAAAATAGTCAATAAAGAGTAAGACAACGAAGTACGAAGACGAATCCGTACTTGCCAATTTTTGCCGTCTGCACATTATCTTGCCCATACTGAGTTGGACGTCACTGGTGGTTGCTCAACGTGTCTTCCCATGTGTCGCTGTTTATGCATACTGGCCATTATTCTTGCCCTGACCCAGAAAAAACAGCGAGACATGAAACTATATCCCGTCTTTGTTCTTCTGCCTTCGTTCGGAACGAAGTTCACAGCGAATTTTGCCAAAATATTCGTTGTGAACGAAGGCAGAAGAACGAAGACGAGATATGGATTCATGTCTCGCTGTTTTGTCCTGATCAGGGTAAGGACTTGGGTCAGCATTCATAATAATAATAATAATAATAATAATAATAATAATAATAATAATAATAATAATAATAATAATAATAATAATAATACTAACATTTATATAACGCCCATACCAGAATGTTCTAAGCGCTTAAACAGCTAGACATAAATCTCTAATCTGTCTTCACGCCTGACGACCCTAAACTCAGAATGCGTAAGATAATGTGCAAGACAGGCAAAAATTGTCAACCACGGTCCACGTCGTCGTCCGACTTCGTTCTCTTGCTCAAACTCTCTAATGTTGTCGGAATCTTCGTGAAGAAGCATCGGAAAAAGTGATACGAACACAATTGTAATGTTATTGTCCAGAAAATTTCAGTTTACCGAAAAAGTTGTCGACGGGAGGAGGGGGAGATTTAAAATGTTGCGTGGTCCGCAAAATTTTTTCTTGCGCGAATTTGCGTCTCGAGTCACTGGCGGCTTGGCCCCACCTGGGTTTTTGCCGGCCCCCTCTGACCGAAAATCCTGGCTACGCCTCTGGAGTCGAGAGTAAAAGTCGAGAGTCGAGAGTAAAAAGTCGAGAGTAAAAAGTCGAGAGTAAAAAGTCGAGAGTCCGACCGAGAGTAAAAAGTCGAGAGTCGATCGAGAGTAAAAAGTCGAGAGTCCGCAAATGTCATCAGAAACAACAAAGTCAAAATATTTTTAATCAAGTTTAACACAATATATATATAGCTTTACATAGCCATTCCGTAACCATTCTCGTACCCAGAGCCCTTCTTACGCGCGGTGCGACGAGGGGCTCTGGCCAAATCCATATTCCGAACTGGCATCTGATTGGCTAGTTCTAACACCGGACATTGTTTTCTTACCATGTTTTTATGGTATCCGGTTATGGATTTGGCCAGAGCCCCTCGTCGCACTGCGCGTAAGAAGGGCTCTGGGTACAATAATGTTCCGTAACAAGTACCAACGGCTGAAATACAAACTTTCCAATAAATATTGCTACAACAGTCAATAATAATAACGTGAACAAAAAAGATAAGAAAATAATATCGCATTTGATGCCTCAATCTTGCTAAATGTTTTCACATGTCATTTCATTCTGACACATAAACTCCGCTGAATTTTGACAGCCATCTCCAGACTTGTAACTAAAATGTCACTTATTCATTAACGTACGTTTATATCAAACGAGAGCGTATTAAGAAATCCACGTTGATCACAATCTAACGATTCATACAATTGTGAATTCATAAATACGAGCCAGTAAAAATAAGATTCTTTTGTCGTATGCGTGACTCTATCGGGTGGTAATATGCCCGCACGTGATTGTAAAGTCCTAGTATTTAGATGTAGCTTCACATATAAGTAATTTTTCGCGGAAATTGGTCATGTAAAAGCGGGAAGGATGGACAGCAATATATAAGGAAGCGATAAAACTAGTTATTAGATAATAGTTATTATTATTGAATGTTGTGGCTAAATTGGGCTAATGCAGAGACAAGTTTTTTCGATCGCGTCCCACGTATCACCAAACCGAGTGACTGAAAGACAAACACGAGCGGAAGAACTGGTACAGCTATTACTACTAGAAGAATATGCACCACTGAGTAACGCACGTAAATCCAATTTAATTAATATTCCTTTGGAAAAGAACAACGATAAATAAAAAAATGGGAAACTTCTCCCAAATGTAATGCTTTTAAATGCAAGATCACTTATTAATAAAACAGATGAATTGGAATTATTGGTTATTACTAATGATATAGACATAGCTTGCATCACTGAGACTTGGTTAAAGGAAACTGTTCCCGATAAAGCTGTGGCTGTTTCTGGAATGACATTGGTTAGAAATGATAGAACGTATGGTACAGGAGGGGGTGTTGCTTTATATGTGAATAACAAAATACCATTTAAAATTCGCAGGACTTGAATGACCCCTCGTTTGAGTGTCAATGGGTTACATTACGTCCAAAATGGAGAAATGGTTACCAAGAGCAATATCTAAAATTGCGGTGTGCTGCGTATACCTACCACCGAGTCATAGCGAGATAGATAGTTTTTATGATTACTTTTATAATTGTTATGACAAACTCTGTACTGAAAGTCCTAACTCGGCTTTCATTGTTTCGGGCGATTTTAACCCAACGAGTAACGGCTTTCAACAGAGTCAATTAAATAGATACTGCAGTCTTAAACAAGTTGTCAAGGTTCCGACACGGAATAACAATATACTTGATTTGATTTTTACAAATATCGCGGATTTCTATATAAATCCTGAGGTCTTAGCACCTCTATCAACATCAGATCATAACATTGTGTTGTGGAAAGCGAGAACTGATGCCTCTGTAGTAAAGGCTGGAAACATAGTAAAGGTAAAAGTGAGAGATCTCTACCATACAAGTACGGAACAGTTTGGGTTTTTTCTAGAGAACTATGACTGGAGTGAACTTTTCTCTAACAAAGGACTCGATGAGAAAGTTGATGCTTTTCTTCATTTTACTAAAGTGATTATCAACGAGTTTTTTCCCGAAAGAATAATAAAAAAGCATACCAACGATAAACCCTTTATGACGCAAAAAATTAAATCTCTGATGGATAAAAGAAATAAAGCTTTTAAAAACAATAAAACCGAGCTCTTCAAATCTTTACGTAAACAAGTTTCAGCTGAGATAAAGAAAGCCAAGCTGCAGTTTTGTGATAAAAAGGTACGACCAAACCATAGTTCATGCCCAAAAGCATGGTGGAAGCAAGTTAAAAGATTAATTGGATCAAGGAAAAACGCTGTGACTTTAGTAGACTTCGAGACAAATCTCCAAATGAACGATAAACAATCGGCAGATTCAATTAATAACTTCTTTGCTAATTTAACGACAAATTATCCACATATATCAAACGAGTGGCTAGAAATGCAATGCCCGGATGATCTACCGTTAATCAGTGTTGAAGAAGTTGCTAGAGAATTGAATGCAATTAATGTTAACAAGGCACCTGGGCCAAATGATCCACCTTTGAAGATTCTGAAAATGTTTTAGAAATTGTTTGCCGTTCCCCTTGCTGAAATTTTTAATGAGTCATTTCAGACAAAGAAATTTCCTGAAACTTGGAAAAAATACAAAGTAACTGGGATTCCTAAGATCACACCATGTACAATCGCTGAAAACCTTAGACCGATTGCATTAACCAGTGTTTTATCAAAAGTTCAGGAATCCTTTACCAACAAGTGGATTAATGAAGATATAAATGGGAAAATTTCCAATTCCCAATATGGAGGGCTCCCAGGATCTTCGACTTTGTATGCCCTTCTAAATCTACTCCACAACTGGTATAGAGCAATGGACGAGCCACAAAGAGTAATACGAATAATTTTTCTTGACTTTAGAAAAGCGTTCGATCTAATTAATCATAATATACTGCTAAGAAATATGAAAGAGATGGGAGTTAGATTGGCCTTAATCCCATGGTTTGGAACATACCTCAATAAAAGATCCCATTTTACTAAATTTGGGAATGATATGTCTGATTATGCATATATCAATGGCGGAGTGCCACAAGGAAGTAAACTCGGATCAATTGCCTTTGTAATAAAGATTGATAAACTTCCCTCTGTAATAAAAGAAGAAATTCAACTCATGATATCAACCAACATGGAAACTAATGTTATACTTGAACATGATACATTAATGTTTATGGATGACACTACATTATACGAGGTACTAGATGTCAGCCACCATATTTCTGGGAAGCAACTGGGTGGTGCTGAAAGTAATGTTAAGAGCGTTTTAAGGTTTACTGAAGAAGATATGATGGAGTTAAATCAAACGAAATGCAAAGAAATGATAATTGACTTTCGGAAAAATGTAACTGTTATTCCACCGCTAGAAATCAATAGTCATGTATTTGAAAGGGTTAAATGTTACACTGAATTACTTGGTTTATGGATTGATGACAATTTGAAGTGGTCAACCAACACATGCTATATTGTTAAAAAAGCGGTAAAAAGACTGTATTTTCTGAACATGTTAAAAGGTTATAACGCACCAAAGCAGGATTTAAAAGCCTTTTATATAGCTGTCATAAGATCGACACTTGAATATTGTGCTCAAATTTGGCATGGAAACTTAACCAAGGAACAGTCTACTGACATAGAACGAGTTCAGAAGCGTGCGCTTAGGATAATTTGTCCTGGACTGACTTATGAAGAAGCATTACTGGACTGTAACCTTAAAACATTA